TAGATAATAACATTTTTCAATGTTAAGTTATTTAAGTTTTTACATCTTTACAGGAATTATTTGAACAATATTTTTGAATTAATAATATGGTCATATACGATTTTTGTTTTGACGGCTTTGTTTTTAAACAGACATAGTTTTCAATGAAAAAGCGCACCCTTGACAAAGCCACACAAACTGAATGTAAAAAAACAGAGTATGGCAAGCGCAGCCCTTCCTTCAGTAGCTTCTGTCCATATGCCTTATTTAATGTCATGGCAAAGGTAACTTTGAAGGAAAATTCCTTCTTAGTTAACAATATTTAGCGCACAGACATTAGTAACTGCAACTCCGTTACCTACATAGAATGGTTGGTAGGTATATCAAAATGAAGGTTTTGTCGGAAAAAACAAATATAAAAGCTGAAGAATCCATGTGGTGCTTATTTTTAGTGGTTCTTTTTTTGACTTCTTTAAAGCGAGTAATTTGATTTCATCTCCGGATTTATTCATCGTAGAAAGCACAGACTAAGTATGTTGGTCGTCATGGATGAAGTACAAACAAAACACTTGGATGTGAGAAATAAATAAATATTATATAGTTTGTTTTTATTAATTTAATTCACATGTTTCAGCTGATCGAATAACTTAAATCAACATTTAAGTTTAAATTATATGCAGAATATTTTACTTGTAATGCTTTGATATCTATCTATCTATATATTAATAGGCAAGCATGTTTCTTTAAACCCCTTTTTCTCAGCTCGTGTGCATCGCAGGGGAAATCTATGCATACTGTTAGAAAGATATTTGCCTGTAGATGTGCAGAATCCCTTTATAAATTAAAGTAGGCTAAAAAATAAGCACAAAAAACGAATTTGAAAAATTTACATGGAACAACTGGGTTGCCATGATGGTGACGAAATAACAACCAAATGTAAACAGAAAATCAAAACAAATGGAAGAAATCCCAATCACATGTTTTATTTACAGTGTGGGGAGAAAATAGAGAAGTCTGTACATTAATTATTTTTGGTCGAGTTTCGACCACAGGACGACCACTAGTACTTATTTAATACGCAAGCAGGTCTTTTGTGACAATTACTCCTCCAAAACTACTAAACCGATTGATATGTTTTTGGTGTCATTGGAAAAAGCGTAACGTGAAGTTGTGCAGGAAACATTATTTTTAGGGAAATAATTAGAGAGTGAGGCCCTGGGGCCCTTTAAAGTTTCGTATTTCTCTATAAGGATAACATGGGAGATCATTTTTATTTACAGAAACATATGTTTGTTACTTGAAAATAGTCAAAGTCTACTAAATAATAATTGCTGGGTATTATGGCTGTTAATGTATACTACATTTCAATCAAGGATTGTGTACCTTAAAGTTTACTCATAATGGATCTCACTACTTTATTTTAATGCTGGGAATAGAAAAATTTAGTTGAGACTAGGTTACCATGATTTAGAAAACTTTACTATGATAATGTATGTAATTAAAATCACAAATCTTTGGAATTATTAATTCATTAGAAACGAAACAGCTGATCGAGAAATCAAACAAACCATCTACTTCATGTAAATAACGTTTTTACACAAATATAGTTTTGATTCTTTTTTACTTTTGGGTGTATTTTGAGTTTGCAGTTATGAAAGCACCAAGCCAAGTAACTTTTATCTAATTTTTTTTATAAACTAACAGTATTAATGAATTACTACATGAACTTGACAAGTTAGGTAATTAATTGTCAGTATGCCAAATGGAAGAAGAGTGGGTCCTCGAAAACAGACGAAGGTGGTGACACCTATCTAGAAAATCCAACTGAGTTTTTAAATGAAAATAGAGTTATTTTGACTTGGAGGATACAAATTTGCCCTTCTGGAACAAACTTACCTTTTAAAATGGAAAGATGCTAAGTTCTGTTATCTTTGGCATTTGCAGCACAAGCACTTTAATTAAAGAGCAGCACTGTTCTTAGCCAGACAAATTTCAGTCATGGAGCAACTATATATATGTTGTTTTAAGTAAGGCTACATCATTTAATAGGATACCCATATTCATTACGGAAAATTCTGGTCAGGGTAATATTCCTGAAGGTAACTTAAGGACTAAAATTGTAGTATTCATGGAAGTGATTTTGTGATAAAAATATTGTTTTTTAGTGTTTATTTTTAAAAGTGTTTTCTTCAAGCAGCATTTTATGACCCTCAAAATATGGTACATAGGCCTATTGGTTTGATATGATAAAATGTTTTGTTAAATGTGTTTATAAAAATCTTTAAAAAAATAACTACCCTATAACATACTTGAACTTGAACACTTATTCATTTACTAAATATGATAGGTATACAGCTATAAAATGGCTGGACTGCTTCCCTTCTAAGGCCTTATTATTACTGTATTTAATTTTTGACGTTGAGTCAATATATAACACGATGAATTTGTTTTCTAAATTCATATGTTTTTTTGCGGGGCATTGAGCCGCACAGGTTCACTAGTAATATATAGTTTTTACGAAAAACTACTGAAAAATGAGTGATTTGTATACTTTCCTATAGTGGCTAAAAAAAAGCTTTAAAATGGCACCTCATTTATGAAAATTGGTGAAGAATTAAGGAATTTATGGTGTACCGACAAAAATGTTCTTTAGAAATACATTCTTTAACTGTGGACATATAACTAGGGTTGTACTATTATTTTTTTAGGTATTAAACTACACTAGGTAAAGTTGCACCTGCCCCAGTGTAAGAGCTGGAAGTAAGTTAAATAGTGTTGCTTGGATATAATAATAATTTACAAGATATTTTATTTCATGAAAATAAACATAAATAAAAGTTGACGTAACCTACGTAACATTACAATAAAAAAAGAATAAAACAACATCCGCCCAATGAAAATATGATTGAATAAAAAGATGATAATAACTTGGGGTAACCTCGGAGAGAGAAGTGCCAAGGAGACTCTTTTAGAGACAAGAAAAGAAGATAAGCAAAGAGGCGCATAAAATAAAGGCAAAGAGCCAAGCTGGCGCATCAAGATAAAGGTGAAGAACCAAGCTTGTGAATAAAAAAATCACAAAGGGTCTGGGTGGGTCATCTGAAAATGCCTCAAAGAGCCTGAGTTCATCACATGAAAAAGCTCAAAAAACTCAACAACTCCATGTAAAAACGGGGAAAAGCTTACGGAAGAATAGAAAATTGTTGGAAGAAAGTATGGTAAAAGCAGAATACAAAGTCCAAAAGGCTGGTTAAAGGAAGATTGAGCCTAAGGGAAGGTTACAAAGCCAGTCAGAAAGCTTACGGATCAAAACATGAAAAAGCTAAGAGCCAGGGCGAAGAACCGGAAATGTTTTATCCTAGGGTGGAACATCCGGAAAAAATTATATCTAGGGCGGATCACCCAAAATAAAGCTCAGAACCGATAAGAGTACCCCAAGAAACCGGGAGGACTGAGAAAACTCTCCCATAACTAACCAGGTGGTTATGAATGAAGCCAATGACAAATGTATAAAGATCTACGAAGGACCTAAATGGGAGATTCTGCTAAGAAGCATTGGACCCAGGGGGTACAAGATCCATTAAGATAGGATTAGGTTTAAGTTATGGCTAGACTATTCTATCCTGTACTAAGCAAAACTATACTTATAATCTATCTATCTATCTATCTATCTATCTATCTATCTATCTATCTATCTATCTATCCATCTATCTATCTATCTATCTATCTATCTATCTATCTATCTATCTATCTATCTATCTATCTATCTATCTATACTATTATAAATAAATAATAATAAATAAATAAATATAAATACTATTATAAAGATGAGTTGGTGTCTGTGTGTGTGTGTGTTTGTATGAGATAATCTCAAAAACTACTGAACCGACTGGGCTCAAATTGCACACAATTGAAGCTACAGCTCCGAGGATACATATAGAACTATTCCCGCCTCGATATAGTCCTAGGGCTCTGCCCCGTGGGCTTTCAAAAATTTGAGGTGAGAGATTTAAAAGTAAATATTGATTGGTGGTATCCATGGTAACAAAGAACAAACCTACAAAGTTTTAAAATGGAAACAAGCAGAACTAACTGTCAGATGAATTTTGATTTCACAATTCTACACAGCTGGTTCAAACATATTAAATAAGCTTCATGAATTTAATAATAAGATTTAAAGATATGTATACAATAAAATGTGTCTTATAGTTAATTAAAAGAGTTTACTTGGTAATGGGATATTGATCCACTGGACTTAAAACCCGTGTTTATCGAATGCCATTGACTCAGTTGTACAGGATCCAGGGTTACTCAGGGTTGCACCAATGTTCATAGACTCCCTCAGATCCTAGTGACCCAGTATTACAGGGTGTAGGGTTCCTCAGGGTTGCATCAATGTCCATAGACTCCCTTATATCCTGGTGACCCAGTGGTCCAGGGTCCAGGGTTCCTCAGGGTTGCATCAATGTCCATAGACTCCCTCAGATCCTGGTGACCCAGTATTACAGGGTGCAGGGTTCCTCAGGGTTGCATCAATGTCCATAGACTCCCTTAGATCCTGGTGACTCAGTGGCCTAGGGTCCAGGGTTCCTAAGGGTTGCATAAATGTCCATAGACTCCCTCAGATCCTGGTGACCCAGTATTACAGGGTGCAGGGTTCCTCAGGGTTGCATCAATGTCCATAGACTCCCTTAGATCCTGGTGACCCAGTAGTACAGGGTGCAGGGTTCCTCAGGGTTGCATCAATGTCCATAGACTCCCTTAGATCCTGGTGACCCAGTATTACAGGGTGCAGGGTTCCTCAGGGTTGCATCAATGTCCATAGACTCCCTTAGATCCTGGTGACCCAGTAGTACAGGGTACAGGGTTCCTCAGGGTTGCACCAATGTTCCTAGACACCCTCAGATCCTGGTGACCCAGTGGTCCATGGTCCAGGGTTCCTCAGGGTTGCACCAATATTCCTAGAGTCCCGCCTGGACTTCCCTCACTTTCTCCACTGTATAAGACGCTGCTGAGCCTAGCGACGCTCAGTCAGTGGAAGTGTCTAGTGTGAGAAAGGAACCCGAAACAGGTTTGTGGTTTTTGTTTACTCTCTTTGTTTATTATTATTTTGTGTAAGTTAATTTATAAAAATGAAAATATTTTTAAGTGCATATTTTCAGAATCCAGCAAATAATGTATGCTGTTTATGTTATTAAATTATTTTGCCATACCTTTTAGGTTAACTTATTAAATTTAAGTAAAATGCGTGTAAAAGGTTGTATAATAATATTTGTAATTTTAATAGATCTTTAATGTAATGTGTTAAATATTATTTTCACATTGATTTTTTAAATAATATTAGGCAAACTAATTTATCAAAGGTGTAATAGTTGAGGACTAGTAAATAATCCTTTGATATCCTAATGTATTGGAAAACTAAATCAATTTTAGAAAAAGTTCGTAACTATACGCTCAAATGTTCGATATCTAAAGCTAAAACAATCGATTGGCTATTTTATTAATAGTTGAGAATAACTTAGTTAGGAACTATCAGTATTTATAGTTTCATACTCAATATAGCCATTAGTAAATCAAACAGTTCAGCTTTGTTAGTTTTATTAAAATAAGGAAATTAATCATTAAGAGCTTTTTTGTGAATCAGAGCCCCCTGTTTCACGATTATGATAAATCAACCAACCATACGAAGCACCATAAGAAAGCACGAATAAATAAATATTATTCTAATTTCAACCTAGAAACTTCTTTATTACCCCCATAGGCCTAAAAAAGTTTCGTAAGCATTGAAATTATATTTAATGAAATAAATGTTGTGAGTGTTTAGTAACCTAATATTATAAATGTTTTATATAAAAGAATGTATTGTTAAATATGTTACCTTAGGGTTCCCTGGACTGTTTATTAGGCGAAAGTATGATAACTGCAATGAAACATATTGAACATCTGCAGTATAATTAATCAAACTAGTTTTTTTTTTCACAATCACAGTGAAAAGGTTTTATGTACTATTTTTTCTCTTTATCTACTTATTTATGTAAAATATTTATGACGGAGGAACAAGCTTTATTCAAACACTAACGTTGTGGTTTAATCCAACCTGTACATTAATTATAGGACAATTTGTGTTAAGTTTAAAACTATATCCTTAAAAAACCTTTAGTGATTATAAAGTATTTATTCTAATCTTTCTTATTACAAAATCTAAGATTTGCGTTTCAGAGGAACCAACCATATTCCTATATTTTAGAAATTATAATACATTTATAAAGTTATTAATTCGCGAAATGAATACGGTGATGATTTAATTACTGAAAACACAATGAATAGGTGGATTATAGTTTAATAGTATTCTACCTTCTTTGACACCGTCTAAAATCCCATCTAAAAAATTAACTTGTTAATAAATACACCCTCATCAATAAAATAAATAATATATAAAATAATAATATAATATAAATAATAATAATAAAATAATAAATAAATAATAAAATAAAATAATAAATACACCAAATGATTATATTATTAGTTGGCCTACTTTGTGATGTTTTGTATAGTTCAAAATAATATAACAGCAATTTTATTATTCTATTACTTCTGATTAACAATATAGAAGCCCAACCACCATACTAAATACATTAAGGGTATTATATACTTGTATAGCTACATTTATTGCATCTTCTTTGTCGCACCTCAAGTGATTGTTCATATATTCATACTGAAATATACTGTAGAACTGGAGTTTTGTTATTTATGTTACTGCATTGTTGTTAAGGGAAGTCAAAATAATTTAAGTTATTGCTTTAAGCTCAACTATGGGGCGACTTAGATTTTTTAAGGAATATGAATTCTATTGAGCCCTCTGAAAACATTAAGCCTAAGTATATAACGGGTAACGTTTCGTGATTAATATCGATGTCCTGCACGACAGTTTTACGGCTTTATGATATCTAAGTAACTGAACTAGTACACACCGTAGTCAAAATAGTTTGAATTTTAAATCATATTTACTTAACTGATGTGATATATATTGCCTGTTGTAAATTTTTATTAATTAAAATTTTCTTTGAAACAGATCGGTATTTACTCTTATTTTTTACGCTAAGCTTGCGTGGTTATATCTAAACAACATTTTGTTATTCCGTTTCTTAAAGTATTTGTTCGGTTACCATTGAACTCTACATCCAAAACTTTAAAACCACACACTTAGAACACCTAGAATAATACCAAACCATTTTTTTTACTTTCAGATCTTTTCTCAACAATTTGTTTTCCTCTGTCACGTCGTAGTGGTAAATTTTTCCTCGTCTTGAATTCCAAACGCAATACACTAATAACAATTTTCCTATTATACGTTCTTCATTGTTATATCCTACAAAACATATAATCCATGAACACTAGTCTACCCACTCCAATTCCCCATTTCCCCAAATATTTCCCCATTTCCCCGCATACATGAGTATATCGGGTGAGGAAGTATGGTCGTGTTTACTTGAGATGGGTTGAACGATCGGCGAAAGTGACTCTCTCACTTTCTCGTGGCCTTCAGCCTTCGTCCGGTGACGCGGGTCGACCATGGCCAGCCAGGGAGGGGGCAGAGGGGAGGGAAGCGGTGATCTCAGACTACGCAACTGAGCTTTGAACAGGAAACGTTTAGCGAATAGCGGTAATAGCGGAAACATGTCAAAGGAAAGTTATTGAATCATAGACTGTCGTGCTGTGTTGCTAGAGCATATACGATTACTGAAAAAAGGTTCGGCTACTTTAACGAGGTAGCGGACCAAAAGTAGCTGAATGGAAGGACACGAATTAGACATAATTCTTATGGGATAACTACACACGGTGAAAGACTGTCTTTCGAAACTGTGCTTTTAGGAGTACGTACGTGCAGTTGTCTAGACGATCAAGCAGACATAAAGTAAACAATTTAACTGCCAACATGTTTCAACGTATTAAATACATTATTTTATTGTTTCTTAAGCCGTTTGTCATCATAATATTTGTACCGTACGGAATGGGGTGAATATAATTATGTTCTTTAGTATATTTTTATTTGTACTGGTTCAGTAATTCTACAACAAGTCTACTAATTTATTTCCAATCAAATAACAATAAAACTGATAATAAAATCAACTAACGACTGAAACAGAATAATGTGTTATCTAAAAATTTGCTAAAAACCACCATTTTAAAGAAGAGTCAACAAAACGAAATTTTCAGACCAAGCATCTATATTCATCATTGGATGAAATTAACAAACTCTATAAAATAGTATAACTTATTATATTAAAAATAAATACTCATGTGATTTCTTCACAAATTGCTAATGATAAAAAAAGAGTTATTCTATTGAACTTAAAACTTGTTTCGTAGTATAAAGCATCGAAATTCATAATTTATATACGATTTGAACTTAATTCTTTAATTAACCTATAATCAGACACAATCTAGTCCAAAACCACAACCATATCCCGATATTTGTTTTATTTAACACCTAGAGACTACGACGGGTGGTTTGACTGAAGCGCTCCAACTGTTGTGTCGAAAGATTAATCAGAAATTGTTACTCAATTTTTTTATCTTTTCTCTGCGTTTATGATTTTTAGCCAGCAGAATTTTAATATCATAAAAAAGTTTCAATTTTAATATATTTCGAATAATATATTGGTGTTCGTCAATGAAACGACGTGCTTGGGAAAATACACACTAGACTATATTATTCATGCATGCTAGTAGATTATAATAATTATGATTTACGATCACTGTAATATTTTGGGCTAATAAGCCAGACATTTTTTGGTTCAAGTTCGGCTATTGCGGTCCCTACTTGTTAATGTGTCATCCTTAATTTCTTCACGGTTTTTAGGTAGCAGAACAGACCAATGGTCTCTGGTGCAGAGCACTTGAGATTTCGTTTTAAGCATAGAAAGATTAGGTTTTCAAACTTTTTGGTTAGAGATCTGTTGGTTCTGATATGATTTCAGTTGCGGAAACTCCAAATGCATTTATTTTATCCTTCCCTGCGATCAATGCTATAGGATCTATACTACAAATTCCCACTGCATTTTTTTACTGAATTTTTTTGTACATTGATGAATGTATTTTGTTATGTTTCAATTCGGATTAAAATCATTTGTCCATTGTACAAAGTTATTCAAAAGAGAATTTTAATGTATTTACACGATAATATTACTCAAACGTAATTACCGTGGCAGTATCATTGTAGATGTTAGCCTCAAGATTGCCAAATAATATTCAAATACCTGCTAGAATCTCTAGAATACTACATTTTTGTATTTCGTTGATCTGTTTTAACTATTTTTGTATTTGTCTTTTTAAATTGATAACAAGATTCCAGTTTGCCCGCCAAAACAACGTAGTGGTTCTAAAAATTCAAACTATTTACGAAATATGCCTGTAGCTGTACACAACCAAGCATTTAAAATTGTGTCGATTGTATAAAACAGATGGACTGAAAGTTTGAACTAATTCTAACACCAGAGAGGTACAAGGCCTAGACGTCTCGTACGGTACACACCACACACACACACACACACATCCACAAACTCTTTCTCTGTCCTTGACCACTTCATAGACTCTTTCTTGATCTTGAGTCTTCCCGCAGGGAAAGTGCTGACCCATTGTTAAATCTAGTAGGCAGATAAGTTTCTCCTCGTTTCCCATCTATGATAACGTGGGATTGGTCTTTGTCTCGATGTGGAGGCAGACAATTTGGCACTAGAGGTTTGTAGTCATTGCTAAATTTATATGTTCCTTAGATTACTATAAGATACAGAAAACCTGTTCTCATTTAGTAGGCCTAAGTTCATTGCTTTTTAACATTCAATTTGTAAAGTGCTCTTACACATCTAAATTTTGATTATTCTAGTGTGAAACCTATAAATTGCCATTTGTAGACATGCACTAATTTTAATCTTATGTACGATTTCATAATTGATCGTCTTTACGAATTTCTGAAATAGATGAAATTAAAAGCAAACAACTGACAAAAACAAACTGAACTGAAGCACTATTCCACCGAGAAAAGCATTTTTTTTTGTTTTATTAGCAGAT